TTTTATACGTGTTAAGGAATCTGTAGTATTCAAAACCACCAGCCAAACTATTTATATCAATTAACAGAGTTTATTTAAAAAAAAAAAAAAATTAAAAATGTATTAAAATAATTACATTTTTTATAAAATACAGCATTCCTTTTTATATTTATCTATAAGTTGATTTAAAAAATGTCAATAAAAAATGTAAAACTTTATATAATGTCATTATATTTTCATTCATAAATTATTTGTTAAATGTAAAACGATGTTTCAGAGTGTAATTTCGTTTCTCTGCGGTATTTAATTGACAATCTGACGATTCTCTTGGACAGCTACCACAGCCATAATTGCAATATGTTCGTAATAATGCAGCCAAAGCAGCTTAATGGCAAACAGCGCTTTTGAAAAGATGTATGTCCTTCAGAACTGAACAAAAATATTCACCATCCAATTTTTTAATACTCTGAATGGGTGAAATACTACACGGAAAGCAGCTTCAAAGAGTCCTTGCACGTTCTTTCTGTATGAGAAAGAAAGATGAAGGTATTCGTCAGCCAAAAGTCCTACATTTGTGCAGGTGAAAGCAGTTTTAAGGTTACACACCAAGTTCAAATCTGGGAGACAAGTTTTTCGAGGCTTCTCTTTCTCCCTCTTTCTTGGTTTCTTGTTCTTTTTTGTTTTCCTTTCATACTAACCCTTGCCAAGTCAGTCCATTTTTATTAGCTTAGCCTGTCGAACAAATGCTTCCTTCATTATTTCTCATTGCGATTAAATGTGCCGTAATGAAGGGCACAAAGAGCAAACTGCTCTGCACTTTCGCGGCGAAAGAATGCGCAAAGTAGTCATTACCGCATGCTACATTTTCCTCCAATTCTTATCAAGGAGGCTTAGTAAACTTTAGGGTCTTTTCAGGAGCTTTATCAGGTCATTAAGGTCTGAAGCTGATTAATATGAATGGTTGTTGAGGTCGTGGCTCTCCGAGGGAGACAGAGAAGGGTGAAGGGGTTCAGAGGAAGTGTTTTGTATCTTTACACAATGGGCCGATGACCTCCTAAGCCCTTTAGTGCCTCTCTCTTAATACCTTCAGCCGGGCCTTCAAAGACTCCAGCAAAGACATTTCACCACTCACAGTTTAAAAGCGCACACAGTATGAGAAGCTTACCTCCACAAACACAGAGAGCCGAAATGCATCAGTTATCATCAAAAAGTTCAGAGAGGACGAGCAATCGCTGTGATGAGTCAAGCGTGAATTCGTCAAATGAAAAGAAGAACGGTTAACTTTAATTTTAAAACGAGACACTCCCAGAATTCTCTCAGCGATGCAATCATGACAGTTTATTAGCGTAACGCTGAAGGAAAGGGGCCCGGCACCTCTTGGTGTGTTAGGGGTCATCAAACAGCAGGATGTTCTAGTTACCCTGCAGGAAAAACTTTCTCTCCGCTGGAGTGAGTCTTCCGATACCCCAAATCTTTTGAGAGCGCCAGCACACCACCACAGAGCCCTGGAGGGTTAATCGAGATGGGGTGCGAGTGTGGGACTCAAACAGAGAGGCCTGCGGTTCCCATCTGTAAGTCTTTCCATTCTTTAGCCGGTCTATATTTCCTTCTACAAGCCCTCCTGTATGCACTTCCTGCATGTAAGAGCCTAAATACTTTAAACTCTGGCAAAGATCCACTAAGACAGGAACAATGGCACCCTTTCACGTGGCCTGGGAGAAGAGCGAGGTCTTCAGACCAGTCAATATTTGGACATGATTTTTTTCCCCCCATTTAAAATCCAAGCGGAACCAAGCAGCAGGAGGCCTGAAGTGCCAGCGAGGGAAAAGCAGGGTAAACATGCAGAACAATGCCAACTGAACACCACACAATACCACCGAACAGCTATCACAATATCAACTGGCCACAAACCGCAAACCATGGGCTTTGTTTTTAAAGTGGGGATTAAAACTGAGCCGGCACAAAAAGGAAACCATTTGAGGTCATATTGCGCAAGCTGGAGTTAAGAGGTGAAAAAGAGATGGCTTTACAGGGGATCCATGACATTTCCCATTTCTGTAGCGCAGAAATGAGACAACCGAGAAAGCGTTTAAGTGTGAAATGTTACAAAAAAAAAAAGTCCAAAGAGGCCGAGTGTGCTATTCACTACACCACCTGACCAAGAAGGCTTCAAAAACTGTAGGGAAAGTGCCACATCTGTTATTGAGAGATTTGAGAGGCATTATCAGTGATTAAAACAGGACTCCGTCAGAATGCTGAAATCCCTTTCCCCAGCTGTTAGGTCCATTCGACAGACCTCTTTGATGGACAGCGGTATCGGCTTCCATGGCACCACATACACAAACAGCCAGAAGATTAAGGTAGGAATTCAATACTGATTCCAGACTGATCCTGCCTATCAACAACAAATAAACAGGTTTCATTTTCGACACAAGACCTATTTCAAGTTTAAATTCCAGGAACTAGCAGACAAAAAAATTATTGACAAATGAATATATTTGTAATGTAGATCACATATCTGGATTACGCAAACACTACTTTTTTCAGGAAGGCAGGAAACAATAAGCTCTCTATCTCAGTCCAATCCAAGTAATGCCTGTGAACGAACACATCTCGGACTAAGAAATGACTAATCTGAGAAGGAGCTGGGAAACTTCCGAGGAAATCTGCCAACTTGAATTGAATTTGTAATTGCAAACGGCATAGGCCGCATTGGACCGAAGCAGAAAAAAGAGCCCCCAAAACCCAGTGAAGCTTGTAAGACCACCATATGTAGAGTAAGACGGAGGCTTACATATGAATGGGTCTGCTGCAAATCTCAGGCCAAAAACTAAAGGAGCCATTCCCCCCTAAATCCTCTAAAGAATCTCTATAGACTCCGCCGTACTCACTCATGTGAGAACACTAGCAATCACTCAGTATGTTCGCCACTGCTTTAAAGTGCAATTGCTTCGCTTTTAAAATAACGATTAAAAGATAAGCAGGCCCGCATGGTTTGAGTGAAAAAAATAATAATAAACACTTGTGTTTCTTGTTATTATAGAACACTGTTTTTCATTAACGGGCATTGAGCAATTAAGAGCTTCAATTAAAGCTTTAATGTAGGCAATCTATCTGACAAATTAATATTTCATGCCATGGCTATCTACATCTTTGAGTTGGACTCTTGCACAGCTGTTTCTAATGTTCGTAATTTAGGCATGTTAATGAGCGACATTACCAGAGAAAAACGCAGCTATATAAAACAACACAATGAACCGATCAGGCACCTTAAAAGCTACCTAGAGATTGGTGTTTGGAGGGTCAGATAGACTTAATCAATGTTTAAATGAACAAGGACACGATCGGATCGATGAGCATGCACATTCTGATCAGGAAGTAACTTGTTTTTGGGGCTTATGAGTGACATTGAGGGCCCCAAGGTCTTGCCAGAGAGTGCTGCTACATTATACAGCACAGCCAGATTTGAATTAGGCCACTGGGTGAGTGCATGAATGTGAATGAGAGATACTCATTTGAACTATCTCATTTATTTGCTAGAGGGGCCTCATTTTGCCCGGACAAAACACAGGCAGGGAGCCTCCAACACACACACTGATATATTCACGACTGCACAAACACACACTTGTGCCAATCTATAGAAACAGGTCTCGCCCTCAAATTCACCCTCAACGGGGCTCAATACTGTCCGACGATGGTTAACCGCAGCCTTGTGCTGTTATCACTGAACGTGTGACCCCTGCATGCGCTTCTCTCTCATGAGCATGCACCCAACTGGGCATCAGCCACATCCAAAATGCTTCTTTGGGTTTGACCCATTGTGTAAAGCCAGCATGGGGCTGGGGTGCAGGGCAGAGAGAAAGCCCCATGGCAACTGAAGAGGGACAACCGAGAATGGGGATGAGCTGGAATCACAGCGCTTTCAGGAAACTCCAGACTTATGAAAAGGAGAACAGTGAGCCTGATGTAATTGCTAAATAAATATATTTCATATACATATGCCATTTTAGCACATTATTCTAGCAATATGTAGTCATGAACACTAATAATCACTGACATTTAACACAACCATTCTAATAACAATCATCAAACCAACTTATTCAAGTACATCTCGCATTCAGAATAATGCTTACTTCTCTTGATGCTATTTTTCATTAACACCATTCCCTGAACAGAAAGGTTATATTGCCTTATTATACATCCTTTGTTGAAATCCATTACTAGCTCATTCTAAGCAACGCATTTTTATAAATGCCTCAAAAGAAATATGAATTGCGAGAACTGTGCTCTTTTAGAATTATGATAACAGACAAAACCGCATTCAAAAAAGTAAATTGGATTTTATAGAACAACGAGCCATGATATTTATTTCTAATGATGTTTCTAGAGGACAAGGTCTAGGACAAGCTGGTGACACAGGGCAATGACTTTTCACTTTGAAAGAGCAAAGAGCTCGCCTGTCAGTCTGACCAAACTTAAAGAAACCTCTTTCATATTAATAATTCCTAAAAAATGTCAGCAAAATAAATTCCCTATATATATATATATATATATATATATATATATATATATATATATATATATATATATATATATATAAAGGCCAATAGACTAACCACTCGCATACTTTCGAAAGCACTTTTTGATTACGACCATATATAAAATCATGATCTTATATTTGTTACAATGTTTGCAATTTTTGTTAAGTATTTGTGGCTCATTTATTTTCCCAATTTGCGTGCGGCAATTTGCCAATTTACTTTAAAATAAGAGTGCCAAACGTTTGAATGTGCACGCTTGCGTTTAGTTAGAAGTTTTGCGCCTGTAATCTAGCTTTGTTATGACTGCTGTATCACCAATGAAACTTATTCAGACGATACCGACGGCTAGACGAACCTGTTCAGTTCGCCGCCGCAGTGTAGGCTATACTTCGCTCTCGGTTTCCTGCGCACTACGGCGTTTCCAAATGACAGAAGTGCAACGGTGTTTTACTGTATTTACTGCGCAAACAACTTACTCACCTTGGGTTTGTTCGGTTCCAGAAGACAGCGTAGCGATCCGCCACAACCTTAGACGCCGGATCCAGGCCCAACACAGACATCCACAGGCTGCTAAACAGTAAATAAAACATCTCCACCTGCGGCATTTCTGAAAGTTTCAATCGCAGTCCCCTTCAATACAGCGATCCGGTGATGACGAACTGCGCTGTTTTTCTTGAATATCCCACGTGCGGAATCTTTTCTCTTTAACTTATGTTTCTTTTACTGTACAAAATACGATGAGCTATACCACCGCAGTGCGAGGAATGACAGATTCGCAGTACTTACATGTAAATTACTAGAAGAAAGAGTACGAAGCCGGTTAATGCGCTCGCTGTCTGTCAGTAGTCCGACCTGATAATGCGTTCATCTCAAGCACATCCTTTCGTGCGATTGAGCGAGTTAGTTTCCCACGAGGTAAGAAATAATTAGACAGTTTTCAGGTCCTTTGAGTGTTCATCTCCCATTCCAATAGCATGAAGGTGTTCAGCGCGGTTGGTCACTGCATGTAGTTAGTTGGAGTGAATGAAAACTGCAGCGTATGTCCACTGGCACCTCATTCTCCAACATCTGAATGGAAACCTGCGCTCTGTGTGTGCGGTCAGACCTGACGTTCACAGACTGAATTTATGTCCTGAAGCGCTGTCTTCAGATTAGGAGACCAAACTACCTGTCTGGACGAAATGCACAAAGCGCAGTCAAGGTTCAGTGGTGAGATATAGTCCACAACAGTACGCTTCCAAGCTGAGTTGGTCAGAGTGCTTGAGCCATGCTGTTTCAGAAGGAGAGAGAGGGAGAGAGAGTACAGTTCCAGCGCTCGCACTATTTCTCATTGGTTTGCATTTTGAATGATGGGCGGCTCGGTTACAAAAACTACAACCCGCCTCCGAAGGTGGTAGAACCGCTTTTTTATGGCAGTGTAAGCCTGGAGAATATGTTCCCAGGGTGATATCACCGTTTACGCATTTTTGTCTTTGTTTGTTTGCTTCTGAAAGCAACAGCGTCCTTGACAATTTAAAATATTCAATTTATTAGGCCCGCACAGCCTACATTTAATATACAATTTACAGACACACACACACACACACACACACACACACACACACACACACACACACACACACACACACACACACACACACACACACACACACAAAAAATGATTACGTGAAGGATTTTCTTTAAAATCATGCCTAAAACTTGTGAGTCACTTTATTCATAATAGAACCGGCTCATAAGACTCATCCATTCATAAATCGGTCACGATAAAACAGGGAAATAAACAAAGGGCTACAGTAGAAAAAAATAAACGTACATTTTAGTAGGTTAATTAATATATTAATTTTCACTTTAATTAGGACAGCATATTCACAACTCTTCAATAGGTAGGCTATATTTTTAATGCGGCAATTATCTTTTTTTTAAAGAAAATTTTATACAAATTAAAAAAAAGGTTACCCATGGTAACAATAAATTAACAATGGGTTTACTACAGTTACCAGTTATTTAATATTTAAAAGAGTAATTTAATACTTTTAAATTTAATTTAAAAGAGTAATATAATAATTTAATAAAATGGTAGTCTATAATTTTACTGTAGTAGAAATAGAAGTAATGTAGAAATGTAAAATCTCTTTTTAAAAAGCACATTGCACTTTACCATAGTGCCTAGTAAATATAATGCAAAAATAGACTAGGCTAATAATAATTCATTTTCGCCAGGATATGCCTATTTTATTATTTGTAAAATTCCACGAACGTCTGATTTATTCACTTAGGCTTTATGTAAATCTAACATTTAAACAAGTTTGATTTGGTTTCTCATGATCGGTTTCATATATACATATTAACAAAATGCAATGTAAATATTTTATATTTCTAAATTACGTTAAGTGAAAGAGCCAAATCAACTAAGCCTATCATACATTCAGCACAATGTAATATTTGTTTATGTGGGTGGTTCGTGTCTTTTCATTTTCTTTGATTTATTGACGCACATTTTCTCAAAACCACAGCAGTTCCCACTCGCTCTCTTCTCAACTAAATGCATGGCTCAGCCTGAACAGTTGACATTGCCCGCTTTCTCTGCAGACCTTAAAGCCCTAATGCGCCCCATAGTGGAGCGACTGAAAACCGCCCAGGAGAACACGTGGGCTTGTGTTCAGCATGTCAAGGCTGCTGGATGCTCTATTGTGATACTTCATGCCAGCCCACAGTTGAGTTTTCTCTCTCTTTTTCATATGTGCACATACCTAGAATGATCTGCAGTGGTGCAAAGAATATCACTGAATTATCACTTTATTAGGTAATTTTTCAAGTAAAATATCTCATAGTGGATTTAGACCAGTAGTGTCCAAACTATTCTTATTAAAGGCCGCTAACCAAACTTGTTTGAGGCTGGTGGGCTGAAGGTAAATATAATTCCCATGGTTGATTTTTTAACTTATTTAATAATATTTAAAAATAACTATAAAACATTGGTTTATATGATCTAATACAGCATCATCCCTTAACATTTAATAATGAACGTATTATAGTAAATACAAAAACAATCCCATTTAAGACAGAATGGAGTTACACTAGTTTTTGACTTGATTGGCTCACCGATGTCTTTGGCATAGTCCTCTATCTGTCCAGTGATATTGTTTACATCTTAAAAAACCACATTAATTTACAACATGTCATTGATACAATTCATTTCAAGTAGCATTTTTGTTTTTTGTAGCGCAGCGATAAAACAAATAAAAAAAGATTATGTCAAATTAAAAATGACACAACTTCCATTCGCCCCAACCTTATATCCTTCTCACTATCTTCTCAGATGGGATGGTGGGCCAAATCAAAGGTTACAGTGGGCCAACTTTGGCGGCTCGCGTGATTAGGGGGCCCCAATAATTGAAAATCCGGCATCCACAACAATCAAACCCCTGGGAACAACTGTGGTCGGAACCAAAGTTCACAGGTCTGTGTTCTCTGAACTCCTCTCAAACGGTGGACTACTTCATTTTGATTGCTTGCCGCCGAACCGCATCATAGCTCATTACCAAATAGTTGACTTGATTTCAAATCCTCCTCACCGGAGAAGACGCACCGCGCTGGTCCTCGCCACCGGTTCCCATTGAATATGAATGACTTCCGGCTACTTTGACGCTCTCGCCGCTTGTTTGTGAACGCTACCCCGCGTCGTCGCTCCACCCCGCCTCCTTTCTTGCTCCTTAGTTTGTGATTGCTCCTCAGTTTGTGAAGGCTTCCCCATGTTGTCACTCCACCCTGCCCCCCTTTCCCGCTTCTCAATTTATGATCGCTTCCTCGCGTCGTTGCTCCACCGACTCTCTTCGTCCCCTCAGTTTGTGATTCCACTGAAATTCCACTGATAATACTGAGGTAAAATTAATTTCTATATTTTAAAGACACGCATTGGAAATTATTTTATTTAATGCAGTGCTTCTTGTTTGGTCTGATACCCACTTTATTTTGTATCTTAGCCAGGCAGTGAAGATTTTTTTTTTTTTTTAAAGAAATCAGATCTTAAACGCAGCATTTTTGTATGGGATGACAATTAACCAGAATCCCTGGGGCTGGCTGACTGAAATTAAAAGTCTGTGTGCATATATCCCATTATCTAAACCTCAGGCCTTCAAGGTTGAAGTTTACCAGTTACTACTACTGGAAAGTAAAAAAAAAAAAACATAATAAAACAAAAAACAAAAAACACTACCAGGCCCGTAACTAGCTTGGTGAAAGGGGTGGTTCTTTTTTCTCAAAAAGTGGATCTTTTTCAGTTATGGGCCTCATTTAGGCTAATTTTTTTAATAATGAGACTTAAATACTGCATTTTAGTAACATTACAAGCACTATTTTAGCTGAAATAGACTGTTGGATGGTCATCATAAGCAAAAACAGGAAATTTGAAAATTTATGGATAACAACAATAGCCAAAATAGTATTCAAATTCATTTTAATATCGATCCCTTTTGGTGCTTCACACCTTTTCAATGCTCATTTTTTGTTTCAAGATTTAAAATAAACATTACTTGTAAAATATCTTCTCTATTTAAAAACAATACAGTAGCAAAAGATGACTTCTACGTCAGATAGTATATCTTGTTACAGCCGGATGTTGGACTTATGAAAAATAATTATGTATACTGGTCAAAACTGATTAGTTGAGGTCACACTGAAGCAACAGCCAACAGAGGATTCCATTTGGTCTTAATATCTTTTTCGATGGGTTATTTTCACTATTTATTTTTCACTATCATCAAAAAATGACAAATGAGGTCATGTGGGACAAATTCTGGACCTTTGTCAGTGAGGGGTGAGACTGAAACTACCCGACCCCCCTAGTTACGGGCATGAATACCCTTGGCTCCAGATAATACACTGCTCTACAAATTAAATTACGCCATTAAAACTTTATGTGATGCATGATATCAAACACATTAAAGATGTTTTCAAGTTTCAAATGGTCCACACTCTAATAAGTGCATCCTTTTACCCAGTTTCTACATCAGATCTATAAGCAAGCACCGTTATTGATTTTAAACGACTGCAATGATGTTACATGGTTCTTTGGTTTTATTTTTTTGAGCAATAAAAGATGTTTTCATCAGACCGGAATGTGTTTACTCTCTTCCCCGAAGCCTCATTCTAATAGCAAGGAATAAACCAAAATTACATAATATAATAATGACCGTATATTGCAAAGTCCAAAGTCCCTTACTAGATTTCACACAAACACTGATCTTCTTATTTCTGGTGATTTATGATCCTTGAAGCAATTCAGTTTTTTAAAATCAATTTTACAACATGATGGATGAGCACAATAACAATTTACACCCGCGTTTATTTTTATGTTCCTTTAATAGAGTGTATGTTAAACTATTTGCACAATGTAATGAAATCTATAATAACAAATGACAATTTTTAAGTTTCTTTTTTATACTTTGCATCTCTTCCCATAACACTTTGACTCATCCCATACAATCTGCTTAATAAAATACAAAATGAAAGAGAACGACTTAACATTTCAGCAGTTGTTGTACAAGAAACTAAATTATCTTTCTAATTCACCAGACAACTATAAACATTAAACAACTACTGTAAGATTAGTAGCACATTGCAAATGGCTGTCTAAAATAAAACCATTCAATTATTGCAAAGTGAAATGAAAAAAAAAAGTCCACACATATGAGATGATTAAAACCTTAACTAATAACTCAAGGTTATTTTCAGTTTCTGGAAATATTTCCACCATCTCTAGTGTGAGACTAGACGCCTGAATGTCGAGCTTGTTAAAAAGGGTGATTTATTTGAGTAACGTGCAAATGTGGTGAACCATCTGACCTCTCTTATCTCCGCCTGACCTGCGGTTCACACATATTATACGTCTAATACCCTCTAACAGGACAGACGGCCCTCAGCGCGTGTTTTCCCCTGATAGGCAAGCCCCTGCTGCAGGGTACCAAATCCCTGTGACCTCCAGAACCTTCCCTGTTCAGTCTCAGTGTTCGAAACAAGCGGCGCTGACATCGGAATGCCAACTATTCCAAAACGGGACGTTCTCACCGTAGTTTTACATTTGTGTGGATGTCTCTGATCACAGGCGTGACAGGCAGAGGAAGCTCTGGCTGCGGTGGGCCGATCACCGGATCAGAACAAGACCCCGGATTCATCCACACAGCTGCAATCGGCTCACTTATCAGTTTCAGCTGACTTCGTTCATGTAATCTCTTTCCCCGAACAAATTTTCAGATGACAGTCTAACAGATAAAGAAGTGCATGTCAGGAGGTATTATAGGAATTTCTTTCAGCAAGTATGAGTCTTCGGGGACTTTTTTGATGTAGAGTAGAGCAGACT